GCGCCAGGGTGCCTCCTGCCCATTTGCCCGAGGCTCCTGAGGACGTGGCCCTTAGGTTTCAGGAGGGCCCCGCTCCTCCTGTGGGAGCCAAGGACTTGCGTGTGCCCGAGCTCACACACACCTGGCGCGTGGGCAGGGAAGCGGCACTCCCGGCTACCCCTCGCGTCTCTGCTTTTCCTTCTGCTCTGAGTAGGCATCCAAGGAACACACACTTTTGCTCAGAGGCAGATTCCTGAGACCAGGACAAAACCTCGGGGAAAGGCTCTCACACGGTGGCTGCCCGAGCCCCTGCCGTGAGGGATCGATGACAGTGGCCCAGGGTGGTCTCGGCTCAGGACGTGTTGGGGTGAATGGGCCCCCATCAGCAGCCAGTGGCAGGGAGGGTTGGGGGTGTGGGTTCAGATGGTCAGGTGACTCCTTTTCCGGGAGCCTGTGGCTCGGGATATGCGGGTGGCACACGGTGAAGGCAGAGGCCGCGCCGTGTGTCTCGGAGCTGGTGACTGTTTCAGGAGAGAAACCCCAAAATTCCGTGCTGGGCTCCCGCCCGCTCCCTCTGGGAAGTCCCGTTTTCATTTACCCCGACACAGCCTCTCCGGACTCTCCGGAAGGCCAGGTCTCCTCATGTGGCTTCCCCCGCTGCCCTCGGCGATGGCTCTCCTCTCTGGTCTGTGCCCAGCATGATGGCCGCCACCCGCTCAGGACCGGACGCTGTCATAAAAGTGCCAAGATCCACCTCCTGCTTTAAGATAACATGCTGTGGGGAGTTTCTCTGAACCTGCTCTGACTCTGGGGCTGCCGGATTTAAAAAGATTTTTTAAATAAAATAAAAAAACACCTGCAATGTAAAAGCTGAAATAGGCCTCTGCCGCCAGTCAGGTCTTGAAAGCTGGCAAGTTTTGAGTTTCAGTACATGCCCCTCAAAACCGTTGCTTACAGTGTCTGCGTGTGTGTGTGTGTGTGTGTGTGTGTGTGTGTGTGGTGTTTGTGTGCGTGCATGTGTGTGTGCTTTGTGTGTGGTGTGTGTGTGGCGTGTGTGTGGTGCGTGTGGTGTGTGTGGTGTGTGGTGTTTGTGTGTGGTATGTGTGTGTGGTGTGTGTATGTGCGTGGTGTGTGTGCATGTGTGTGGTGTGTGTGTGTGCTGTGTGTGTGGTGTGCGCATGTGTGTGGTGTGTGTGTGCATGTGTGTGGTATGTGTGTGGTGTGTGTGTGTGTGTGGTTTGTGTGTGGTGTGTGTGTGGGGTGTGTGTGGTTTGTGTGCGTGTGTGGTTTGTGTGTGGGGTGTGTGTGTGTGGTGTGTGTGTGGTGTGTGTATGTGCGGGGTGTGTGTGTGCATGTGTGCATGTGTGTGGTGTGTGT